GGGGGGGGGGGGGGGGGGCTATCCCTTTAAAAACTAAGTTTTAAAAGCTCTAAAAGGGGATTTAAATGAAGCATTTTTTCCTGCTCTGGTATGTTCATAAAGAGAAAAGGCTGCAGAAAATGCCAATCTTATGATATCAAATAGATTAATCTGTTATCTGTCAGAACACATATGGAATAGCAATTTGATATTATTTCCATTTTGCATTAAAAGATAAGAGCTAAGTCATTTTTCATATATACATACTAAAGCCAAAGAGGGCTGTGCATGGTTTCAAAACTCAGTATTATGTCAAACACATTCAACTTCTAAAAGTAAGTGCTATGAATATTACATGGCAATGGAACACAAATATACACTTTTTTAACATAAAAAAGTACCATTTAATTTTTTTATTAACTGTATATTTTTTTTGACAAATCATAACATTAGTATTCACATATATATATATTAAGAAACACAAATATATAGCACTTTATTTTAAGGTGCACTGTAAAAAATAATTCTGTAAAATTTACGGTAAAAACCGGCAGCTGTGGTTGCCGGAATTTTACCGTAAAAAATACGGTAGCAACGTTTTAGGTTTTACAGTTTTAACTTCAATTTACAGTTAAATACCGTAATTTCATTAACTGATATAATGTTAATATACCAACCTATTGAAGTACTGAAATCTGTTTTGTAGCTTTGTAATACACTGATAACCACCAAATGCAGGAGGTGATGAGAAAGTCACACGATGAACCAAAGCCCATCACAAGCAGCTTTTATATAATAACATATAGAAGGTGCACAGTGTGTCATTCACACAAACACTAAACAGCATCATGGTAACACACATGAAACTGAAATAATGCAATAAACATTCATTTAACAACATTAGGTGTAACACACAACCCTAATATACAAAACCGATAAGAAAAAACTAAGAAGAAACATAGTTATTTCATCAAAAAAACATCAAATTTGAAATGTAACGCAGGGAATTCTGGGAATGTCAATTTACGGTTATTCACTGTAAATTATATGGTAATTTTCACTTCCAAAAACGACAGTAAAATTAATGTCCAATACAGTTTTTCACCGTATACAGTAGGGGAATTTACCGTTAACCATTTAACAGGTTTTTACTGTAGCATTTTTACAGTCTTTTTACCGTAATTTTTTACAGTGTGTCCTTGTTGCACATTACATGCACTTACTATTATAATAAAAATTAATTATGCATAATTACATGCAAGTAACCCTAAGCCAAACCCAAATCCTAACCCTATATAATAAGAACATGTAGTTAATTAATATTACTCAGTAGCTATATGTATGATTACACTGTAACAAGGACACCTTAAAATAAAGTGTAACCAAAATATATTAGAATAGATTGTTCCAAATTAATTCCTTGGTACTTAATCCTTCCTTCCTTCACCCTGTTTTGCCCCAGTAATTAAGAATCAGTGGAAGATGAATTGAAGCGCACACAGTATGTTTGCTATATTATGCCATGATAAACTCTTTGTAGTTTCTCTATTGTTATCTGTAAAATTGAACCTTGAGGTGCATGCTTTTCAGTCTTTTCAAAACATTGGGCTTTTCTCTAATTTTAACACCCCCAATGTTTTAACAAACTGGTACTAAAATTCGGGAGTTGCATTTACATAGAACTGACTGAGAACCTTTAAAAGTGTATCGCACTGTAAATCTGCCTCTGCAGAGTTTTGGTGTCATGTTTGAATATGCTTATATATGGTTCTAAACTGGGAAGCTTTCAGACCAAATGAGCCATTATCGTTTTCCAAAAATGGTATCCTTGCAGGTCCAGTGCAAGAAGAAAGGGCATCATTCCACCACACGTTACTAAAACACCTCCTCATAATCCTCCACAGTGAGACTAAACCCCTGCAGTGATGATCTAAAGGCAGGCAGCAATTTCATTTTCCTATCATACACACCACACACACACACACACACAGTACACATTTCAAAACCTGTATCGTTGTAGTCGATATTATAGTCTCCATTAGTCACTATATTTTCATTGAAACAGATAGCCGCTGATCTCTGCCTGCCATCTGGCAACATTAAAATCCACCTACAGCACAAGTCCCTGCTAAGCGCAAAACAAACAGCGGCATGCTGCAGCAGAGCGGAGCAGATGAGTATTATATGATGATAGTGTTAAGCCTCTTTAAGGTAGAGAGAGCTGTTCATTTCTGAAATTAGAGAGTCAGACCTTGGTGGAAGTAGCTTTCCAAATGGGTCCCCTCTGTATGTTTTGAGTGCAATGTATTATAGGTAATCCCTGTAATAATGTTTCATTGATTGTTGTTGAGATTGTTGAGGTTTATGTCACTTTGAAGTTCACAGTCATGATTTCTTAGTTATTTTGCAGGGTGTCTAGAATCAATTCAATATTTTGTTCTTTTTTTTTTTTAAGAAGCTTGAAAGGATGTTCTGAGCTTTTAAATTTTTTTTTACTAAAAATATAACAACATATTTCCTTACATTCTGAATACATTTGAGCACACAATTATTGTTTTAGAATAAATAAAATAACATATTTAAAAATAAGTAATAATAAAATATTTTTGTCTAAAATGCAATGAAATATTAAATCATAAATATGTTTTTTTACAGCCTAAACAAACATTGCCATGCTATAAAAGGCCAAGTTATATCATATTTTAATTGACTTATGTGTCTTTGTTGATCAAAGTTTTTTTTATTATTGTTTGTAATATTCTAACAAATATTATAAATATTATAGAAATATTAATAAAATAATATGCCAGACTTTTGATTAGGATATCAGATAAGTTGTAACACATTTTTGCCTTTATGCCCAAAAAAATATCAAAGTGAATTAAATTCAGAAACAAAATACACGTTCATCATTAAAATTTTAAGGACCAATTCTCACTATTAACTAGCTTGCATATTACTAGCATATTGGCTGTTTATTAGTACTTATAATGCACATATTAATGCCTTATTCTGCATGACTCTAGATCCCTTAATCTCTACCCCATACTTAAACTTAAAAACTACCTTACTAACTATTAATAAGCAGCAAATTAGGAGTTTATTGAGGCAAAAGTTGCAGTTAATAGTTAGTTAATAGTAAGAATTGGACCTTAAAATAAAGTGTGACCTTTAAAAAAGTCTATTCAAGTCATTGTATTTATGAATTGCGTTTTAAATGTATTTTTAAAATGAATATATCCAGACAACAAAATGTCCAAAAATTCAAAGTATTACAGTAAAATAAAGTCTGTACACAAATTGCACAGGGTGAGTTACACATGGTAGTAAACAATGTTTAACGACTGTTCAAATATGGAAAGAACTTCAAATTTGATCAAAAACGTATTGAACAGCAGCTTCCTTTCATAGTTTAAAAGTAGTTTGCTTTATTTTACAGTTCGTCTGCCTCTTCAAAGAAGCAACAACCAATAGGTTATGTTCAACTGTTTGTTTTATCGTCCTGGATGTAATT